TTACTAAATTTCCTAGACCCTTTTATTACTCTCTAAGTTAATTTAATTTTCAAGTCCCTTTCTCCCCCCCAAAAGCAAGCAAACAAAAAAACCCCAAATGAATAGAATTGCTACTACAATATGCTTTCTGACTTGAAAGCTAAAGCCACGCAATGGTAAAGCTTCTGTCTTAAATGCAAAGCAACTGTTGCAGCACCTAACAGCAAAAATAGTGGGTTAATTGTTTAGGTATCAAATTCCTTGAACTGTTATTTGTACTTCAGCTTCAAAATTTACTTAGTTTTTATTAAATGGTAGCACTGATGTGAGGAATGAGACCATGAAGACCTAGACCATCTGTATAAGCTATTGCCTAGCTTGGGAACTTGGTAGGGAGAAAGGGACTTGAAAATTAAATTAACTTAGAGAGTAATAAAAGGGTCTAGGAAATTTAGTAAGAGAAACCTGTGAAGGGTCACTGCTTTTAATAGGACAGAGGGATGCAAAGTTAACCTACCAAACTATGTGTAGTTGAAGTCAAGCTGTAAGTTCCTTCTTTGCAGTAGGAGTAACTAGGGAATGGAAAACCTTCTAGAATATTTCTTGCATGTAACAGCAAACAGCTGCCTCCTATGTAGTGATGTTGTCCAGAAATGGCAGAATGATGGCTACTTATATAGACATCTACTGTGTCTGTCTAAATTTCACCTTTCTAGATAATAAAGAGCATGTCATGCAACTACTCTAGATAGCATCTAAAAGTAGTGGATGGAAAAAAAAAAGCTTGGTTTCAGAAGAAATCTGGTAGTACTGCTACCTTAGGAATGTTGCTATGGCTTAGACAATCCTCTGGCTCTTTAGCCTGGGATCCAAAATAGTTGCTTTTACAGTCTTGCTGTATTGTACCTTCATATGTATCTGTAACTATATAGTTAATATAAGCACTGCCTGATTTTTCACCTTATGTCTGAGATCCTGTTTATATATAAACAACCCTCCTGCTGAAGTCTGAATTAGGACAGCTAAATGCTGCTTTCATTGTCTGCTTTGGCACAAATGCATGTAATCTGAAAAAAAAAAGTCAAGTACATAAAACAATCCGAGCAAGAGCAAGTCCTGTAGGGTAAGTTAAGTACACTGTTGCTGCCCCTTAGGTTCTTTTATGATGGATACAAGTTCTCCAAAAGTGCTTTCCTTCCTTTATGGATTGAGAGGCAAGTCAGAGGTTTGAAATTACTAGACTGAGTCTCCAGGCTGTTTCTCACTCTGCAATCTGCATGTATGCTGACAGCTGTAACAGGATACCTAGAATTTATATTTGTCAGTGTACTGTCTGTACATCTAAGTTTATGCCCAGCCTCTAGATACTTCAGCTGCAGAAAACAAATTCTGCTCAAACAGCACTGATGGTATAAACCTTAATGCTGCCCTAAATCGAATCATAGGCCAATAAAAACCTTTTCCTGAGTCAGCAGAGACTGAGTGCTTGAGAAAACTCAAGATTGAAATGAAACATTGCCTACTAACTTAAGCTATCCATTTATCTACTCTTTAGTAATGCTATTTGTGAATGCTGTGAAAGAATACAGCAAGTGAAAGTTGGAGGACTCCCTTCAATCTCCTCGATAAGAGGAATCACCATTTAAAGACTAATCATATTCATTGTGATAAAGAATGAATGGATATAGATAAATAGGTTTTTACTTCTCATTTGCTGCTTATAAACTAGTCTAGTCTGCTCTGGTCCGAAGGCTATATTTATTTTTTTAGCTAATCTACTACTGAGATACCAAACAACTTCAGACTCACTTAACCTTGTAACAACTAACTACCTGCAAACTAAGAGCTGACCTCCTCTGAGCACAGATTGCTATCCTCATTTAGTGGTTAGTCAGGAGCTTTTTACTACAGAACTAGAAACACCTATTGTCTGTTAAGGAATGTAATGGAGTTTTACTAGAGTTGTCACCATAATTACATGTGCTTTTCTTATCAGATCAGTGTGGAGGTAGGTGCATCTGGGACTGCAGGTCTAACAGGCCACTGCTAACTCTGTCAGTGAGATTATGTTGGTTTCATGCATTTGTAAGCATAATTAATAAAACTAGTTGTTGCCATTTCATCTTCTGAGCTGCAGTTTTCCTGAAGCTGACCAGTGCTCAGTTAAACTGTTTTATTGTGGGAGTTTTTTTGCTGCCTTATACAGATTGAATTTAAGGTGTAAAAGAAACTGAATGGCAGAGTTTGTGAGCAGCTTCCTATCTTTTAACAAAAGTATCCCCATCACACTATTTCATTCTCTCTGCATTTTTGGAATATTTAGAGGCTGCAAGGTTTACAGGGTTGTTCACAAATAGAACTGTAGTACTCTGTGCCAGACTTCTACAGGACATGATAACTGCATTACCAACCCTTACTTAGTAAGGTGACTGAAAAAGATCCTTGAACAGCTGTCTGATGCTCGTAGCCTATTAATGCTTTCTCTTTTAGGTGCAGATCAGGGGTTATTAAACACCTTCTTCAGCAGCTGGGCAACAACAGACATGAGCAAACATCTACCGTTTATATATAATTTGAGCAGCACTTCTGTATATTCCTACCTTCCAGCATTTAAAGCGTAAGTTGAAAACTTCAAGAAGACTTTCAGAGCATACATAAACTAATTTCTTGTAACAGAATGAGCAGGCATGATGTGAGCTTTCACAGGTTTTCTAGAAGGAGACTGTTCCTGTCACTCAAAATATCACTGTTTTTTCTCTTAAAAAAAAGGTTGAATTGATGAAAGTCAAATTAATCATCTCAAGATAAACACAGAGAGACAGCTGTATCTGTAGCTTAAACCATTCACCCCTGGTGAAACGCTGAAATTGATTTAGAGTAAGCACCTTTGACAGGTCACTTGCAAAAGGAAACACTCTTCCAGTATTTGGATACAGGCTAGTACAGTTCTAATCAATGGCAGTATGCTCTTCAATCAACTTGAGCTGAACTTCAGCATGTCGCTGGTGGTATCCTTCCCACTTAGATAACTTGCCATTTCTTCTCTCCAATTATTTAGGGTATTTGACAACCAGTAGTTACAGTTTCATCTAGTCAACCTATACCATTCAAATAAGTGTTTGAATGTCAAATTCAAGCTAGAATTCTCTCCTAATGGTCCTTCTAGACCACTGTCAGTTCCTTAAGTAACAGCAAGATGAAAGAAAGAATACAGCCAACCATAAATCATTGCGTGTTTCCTCTGTGACAAAAGTTGTAGCCTCCCTAGCTAGCAGTACTAGTTTGGCATGTGAGTAAACTGTATGTCAGAGGCAGGGTTGTTGACTGTTTTAACAATCCAGGAGAAAGGGGGCGGGGGGGGAAGAAGGGAAACTGAAGCGTTACACAGAAACTCTTTATCTATTATGAGCTACAGAAGTTGGGGGCAAGGGAAAGTGCTAAGTGCATAAAAACAATCTGATCTCTGAATGACATCAGGTTTCTAGTGTCTAAAGCTGGCAAAGCAGGGCTTGCTGGCTCAAGATCAAACTATGTCTTGTGATCAGAATACTGTTTGGAATCTTGTCATGCTGAAAGTGGAACACTTATTTAAAGAAATATATGCAAGCCTCAGAATGACTAAGTAGCTGGATAGCATTGGATAAGCTAACGTCTATTGTAGAGTGGGCTCTCCTTCCATGGCTGGCTGTTAGTCACATGACCTTAATTTTACAAATTACTTTGTTGCCAAGAAAGACTAATTGGATCTGAGGAGCTCCTGACAAAATTTCTCTTTAATTGATCAAATAGCTTACTCGACTGAATTCATCAGACCTTCAAAAATAGAATGCTGGAAATGCAGCCCTTGTAAGTAACATTCCCTGCTCAATAGGTGGAACAAGTTCCCTTGGTTAGATCAGCAGCTATGCTCCTGATAATCACCAGTTGGAATATAGTGAAATTTAAACCTACTGACAGCAATAGCTAAGTTTTTTGCAGCTTTGTACAGCGAGACTAGATTTCACAGCAGTCTCAGTAATCCTTTTTCCAAAGGAAAATGCCAATTCATGACAAATGCTCTCTAACTTCAAAACATTGATGAAGGACTTTTCTGGGAGATGTGGAAAGACAGATTAGTTGCTGAGGCCAGTGTGGACATAAAGCTTCCTAACAGTTGAGCTTAATATCAAAATAAAGTATTGCAGGTCCAGAAAGTACCTAGAAAGCAGAGGCTAAAAACATTGTAGAAGCTTGGCATCTCTTGTTCTGACTGTAAGTGGACAGGATACCAAGAGGACACTTCACCCTTTGCAACAAATGTCACATGATACTTCTTATGCATTCTATTTTCTAGCTTAACTTCCCTTGATTTTTGAACAGTAAGTTTCTTCAGAACAGCAACAGCCTAAGATGCTGAAGAAGAAAACTTGGATTGTTTAGTACTGTGACAGCTAATAAAACTAAGGTGGTCCCCTTATGCTAAATCTTGACTTTTGGGGTTTGAAGTTAAAGTCCAGTAACTGATCTCTTGAAGACATTTGTTTTTCCTGCAGTTAATGCAAGTATTTGGCCTTTCATGCACACACAATTCTTTACTCTGCAAAGATCAGTTGTATTCAACACATTAAACATGAACATTGAAATACAGTCAGGAGCCTTAAAACAATATGAAGCCCATAACCCCATCCAAATGCAGACTTGGTTTGAATATTCTATGGCTTTTGAAATACACCTATGTCGTCTCCATACATAAAAGTCTAATGTCTGAGTCCTGGTCAAAATGACCAGCATCTGCTTAATAAAATGTTAGGCAAGCTACTTCATGTTACTCTCCGTTTCAGTCATGTTATGTCAACAAGAAAGCCTAATATGATACAAACTGAACTAGGTGAGATAGTCCTTGTTAGCAGAAAGACCAGTATTGCATGGTCACAAAGCTGGATCAAGCTGAAACCAAGTTCTGGAACTGTAGGAGAATGACATGAATGTTGTCTCTTTCAGTCTTAAGTTCTTTACTTAAGAAGAGGTGCATCTCATCTATACTTTTAATATAGAACAACATACTGATAACAGTTGGGACAAAGATGGAAGTCCACAGTGAAAATGGAGTTTAAATAGTTTCAAAAAGAAATGAAAATAACCCACCACCAAATCCACCCATGGCTGCCCTAAGGTTATTTAGGAAGTAAGGGCTGTCTAGCAAGACCCCACTGCACCCAGGTCAGGAGTCTTCTAAAATGCCTTGGTTACACAAAGTTATGATTTTGCAGGGACATGGTCTCCTTGCAGCACAGCCACCCAATGATCCATTTCTACAGGGCTATAAACTGAAAGGGTAACTCTAAACACTAACCCTTCTCCACATAATACTTGTAATGCTTAACTCTCTGGCTTGCTGACTTTGGAGTAGAATCTTTTTCACTTTTAAAACCAGTTCCGATTGCAACGGCTGCTTGTGACTGCTCTCTCCCGAGCTATGGACATCATCCTAAAGACGTGAGTTGTCTGTAAGTATTTAAATAGCCCAGACCATTAGGTTTTGGTTGTATTCTGACTAGTGTAATGTAGAATTCAGTTTGCATTTTTTCTATTGTATTGCAATGCTTTCAGTCCTAATAGGCACTGGCAGTTTGATCATTTAGCATTTAGCCTCCTAAAAATATTAATATTTCTGTTTTCTGGAAAAATACAGACATAGCAGGTTAAAAAAAGTTATGTCTGCCAGTCAAAACTCGTTTTCTATACACGTGTATAAACTGACTCGTAAACTTTTTTTCTGCCCAACAGGTTTGGTGCAAATACTAAGGTAGTGCATTTCCTGGGAAGTACAAAGCCATGGAACTATACATATGACTCCAGAACAAAAAGCATAAAGGGCAACATGGACGACCCTAAAATAGTTCACCCAGAATTCCTCAACATGTGGTGGGATACCTACATAGCCGATGTTTTACCATTACTAGAACAGCACGGAATTGTTAAAGATATTACTACAGGAGTAAATATGGTATGTTCTTTAGTAATCTTGTATATCCATACATAAGTGTGGATGACAGGTTATTTACCATTGCATCAATTTCCCTTCCCTCTGTCCATCTCATAGCATGGGTGTGGTTTAGTTTGTGGGATGCAGGGTATTTTAGTTTTCTCCTTTTAAGCTTGGAATTAATAATACTACAAAAGAGAAGCATGCTAGACAGGTCTTGGACATAGCTGTATGCTTGCCTAAAACAAACTATGTACCTTGTTAATGTTGCACCAGGTCTTTCACTGGTAACTTCTTGGATGTGGTTACTTCTTTAATGTGTACAGAGAATGGCCTAACTCTTAATGTGTTGCAGCTAATAAGGTTCTCAAGCAGAAGAACCTCAGTTCAGCATGCAGATATGTACATACAGATCTTGCATGGTGAATCACATTTAGGTAAGCCTAGGATAACTTGAGAATCAATACTTATATCAACAGGCAGTGATGAATGCCAGTACTTATTAACATTAAAGGAATGCTTCTAATTCTAGTTCTCATACACAGAGTTTGTAGTTTAGTAGCCTGCATCTGGCTGCAGACTTCTTAGTCTTAGTACATGGACCAGTTTAAGTTCTCAGCCTTTCTAAGAGCAGTTACTGATCTCTTAAGATGTGCTTCTCTTGGTAATCTTGCATCTTTCTAACAAACTATTTGCAGCTATCGGGCTTGGTCTATACTCTGGCTTTCTCTTGTGGCTTCTGTAGAGAGGTATGAAGAACTTAAACTTTACTTTTTTTTTTTTTCTTTTTCCCTTGCCAACTTCTGTAACTCTGCTTTGTTATTTTTCTAGGAAGGCTGCACAATCCCTACCCATTGGCAATGCTTGCTACTGTGCATGATAATATTTACTTTGTTGTCCCATTCTATGGCCTGTTGCTCGCTTTAGCTTTACAAAGTATTTCTATATTTTAACTCTGCCTTTCCTTTTAGGCAGAAGTTACAGAGGCAGTGTCCCACGTGTCAGTATCACCATTATTATCCACTGAATCTTCAGAAGAACGCAAGGAACGGTGGGAACAGGGCCAAGCTGACTATATGGGAGTGGATTCCTTTGACAACATCAAGAAGAAACTAGATACCTACCTTCAGTAGAAGAGCCTGTCTCAAACAGTGGTGATGCAAGGACTTATTCCAGAACTAACAGCTAGAAAGGTATAGATGGTGGTCAGTTACACTTGCTAGTAGCTTGAGGAAAAACTTCTTGGCTGAAGGCCTCTGCAGTGCTACAGATGAAGACTGAGCAAAAGCTAGGAAGCAGAATCCTTGGGCCACCTATTACTGCCCAATTTCCAATTCTCCTTACTAGATAAAACCAGGTATTTTCAGCTTAAAATTTCTTCTGTTTTGATCAATTGGCTCAACATATTCTTTAAACTGGGTTTGTTACTTCACCTCATTAAGGTGATTAGCATTGATTCCTTTGCTTGCTGTTTTAGATGTAAAATCTAATTCATGGGATTGCTCATACACTGGAGTGGTAGCCATTCTGCTTTACCATAGATGTATTAATGACACTGGAATGCATACAATTGTAACAGTAATAGCACTGCTTTGCTCTTCCAGTCACAATTGCACTGAAATTTTGACCAGGTTCTTACGCACAGTGCCTGCAGCATGGCAGAATGCGTTTTTCAGTTCTGTATACTATGGGACTAGTAAACTGAGTTTTATCTGTTCCTTGCAATGTTGCACTTGATACAAAAATAAAAAGTTGTCATGCATTTGTCTTCCCTAAACTCTTGAGCAATTAAAAAAAAGGAGCTCCAAAGCAGTCTAACTAAAATATTTAACAGGTATAAATACCTTAAGCTTTGCTGATGCTACTCAAGCTCTCATTAGCAAATGTCCAGCTTTTAGTTTGTAATTATTTAGAAGTATGTAGTCATTTGCCAGGGAGCTGTTAAGGGCCAATCCCCCTATTAGCTTGCCATAAATATAGGACAGGGCACTTGAGGAAGTACCTGCTGAAGCTGTTTACATTAGTAACTTGAAGTCTGGGAAGAAGGTGTCTTTCTTTCAAGAGGCTAAAGAAACATCATCCCTAATGTAAGCCCTGTACACTGAACTTAATCCCAAACACAACAGTGATACTACTTTGGCAAGGAAAGACTATGTAGTTGCTTAAGTAACTGTATCTACCCTGGTAAGGAAATCTACTCTTTCCATGTGTAAAGCCAGTAAAAGAAAGTGCTTTTTTTGCTACTCTCAGGCTACGTGTACTCCAAGACACATAGAAAAGCAGTAAAAATAAAGCATACTGATGACAGAGATTAGCTGTCATCTGTACTGAGGTTTAGATCTATCCTTTAGCCAAAAATCTAAACAGAACAAAATCAGTGTTCTTTGACAGCTGGATCTTGTACTAATCCAGAAACACTAAGAAAATATTACTTCATTATTTCCTAGTAAAGGAGGACTTTGGCTGGAATCTGGTGGTGGTGTTAAACCTTTAGCCTAGAGCCAAAATAAACAATGGACAAGGACTCACCATTTGCTGGTAAAGCAGAAGACATAATACAAGTATAAGGGTTGGTCTGTTTTAACTTGTTTTCACTAGTAAATTACTCTATGATTTAATTGGTCACCATTTAGGAAAAATGCTAAAAGATGAGGTCCAAACCAAAGTAGCTTGTAGCTACCTGAACTCCCACTTGTAACTAGCCCTTTCCTGTATGGGTTTTTCTTTTGCTGTGTTTTTGTTGTTTGTTTGTTTGTTTTTTTCAATGGATAAATTTGAAGTTGTATGAAAGCAGGAGGGATTGCTAGTTACAGTCTGTAATGACAAAAATATACTTTATCAAACAAATATTGGAGAGTTCTGTGTACTCAAAGGCTACTCTATGGAAAATGGTAAAATAATCTTTTTAAGAGAAACACTAAATTTTCCTCCCCTTGTCTGTATTCATACTTGAGAATAGGCACGTTACTTATTTTTAAGCTAAGTGGGAGAGAACCAAGAAAGTATGAAAGTATGACATTTATCACCTGCCTGAAAATTTGGTTTAGCATGTAAGTTTTGTTACGTTAATACAATAAGATGAGGAGAGATGCTGAATAAGATGAAAACCAGTATGTTTTGGGTTAACAAGTACAGTTAGTGAAGAAAGATAACCTGTGAAAATAATTCTGTTGTAGCCTCTGTAACTCATAGATGCACAAAGCCTCAGGAAAGGTATGACATCTATACCAAATTCTATGCAGCTTATTTTCAATAAAATGACCTTTATGTCATTATTTGCCACTATTTCCTTCACAATTGCTGCAGGCAGCTCTTTGCAGAAAAGCAGAGATCCCTTTTTATCCTTTGCAATAGCCTCGCTTGATACATCAAGCACTTTTCTGCACTAATCTGAAGGTACTCAAAACAGCACTATACTCTAAACATCATTATTCAGAATAATCACAGCACTGCTTAGATTGCAACTCAAATATTGGAACTTCATTTGCCATTGTGAAGCCTACAACACCTAGAAGGTGTTCCTTAAATGGTGACAACTCAGAGCAACTCTTAAAAGCTTATGAAGCATTTTTTCCATATACATCTTTATTTTATGTATAGGGTTAAAAAAACCCCCAAAAAGCCCCAAAGAACAAAAACCCCCAAACAAATAAGCAAAACCAGAATGACAGACTATTGACTCAGTCTTTGGAGTTATAAATAATTACAAAAACTCACTTCTAGAACATATTGTTAAAACTCCACAAAAGAGAATGCCAAAAGCCAAAGACTACTTACAGATCATAAAAAGCAGAAAAAAAGTCCAAACAGCCAAAACACCAAGGTGTTTAACCACCTGCTTACTGAACATCTCCATCAAATCAGACAGGAGTTTTCTGTGCTTAGCTTTTACCTCTTTTTTCTCAGATACATTAATGGCTTTCTTGGGAGAGACCATAAAGCTTAGTAGTACCTTTAGTAAATTATATGTGGCTTTGGAACATGGAAATCATAATCTAATAGACAAAAAAAAAAAATACTAGTAATTGTGTTCAGTTGTTTTCATAATCACAATCATTGTTTTCATAATCATACTATGCCAAATGTCAGCATACTTTCACATAAGTAATGATGTAGCTTGATTAGTCATAGAAATTACTCTCTTCCCTGTGAAATTTTTACTTGGAAAATGGATATAACAGAAAAAAAGGCCAAATCCCCCCTTCATAATTGCAAATTATTTTTTCAGTTTATCTCTAAATATCAAAATCTGAACGAGAACAATGCAAAGAAAGTTTAATTTAGATAAACTCAATGCAAAAAACCAAAAAGCAAAAAAAAAAAACCAATCCCAAAAAACCCCACTCAAAACCCAACTTCAATCAGGTTTAGCTCTGTTTTCTTGTTCTTTCTCAGCTTTCCAGTGACAGTCAGATACTGGGATTCATGCTGTCTTCCATCGTTCATGTTCTTGTAATTCTTTCTCTAACAGACTTAAAGTATGCCTCTCTCCATAGCTAAGGTGCTGGCTCTCCAAAAACTGCATTAGTTTGTTAGTTTACTTGTTTTTAATTCCTTTCTCACTCCTTTCATTAGCTCGCTTTCTCCAAATAGTAGACATCTTCCCTTTATTTCTCAGTTCTTTTCCATTTCCTGTGCTTGCAATTCATCTTGTAATCAGTAGGCTGATATACTCAGACATAAGAGGTGAAAGGCTTTACAAGCTTTACAGACTCCATTTCTCTGCTGCCAAGTACACCTCCCAAATGTACAGGTGTAGTTTACTAAATTCTTCCTCCATAAGTCAAGTGGCATGCAGATCAGCATTCCATTAAGACACATGTATGGAAGTGAAAAACGTCATTTTTCCATTACAAGAGGAAAAGCAGTACAGGAAGACTGTTATAAAGCTGGCAGCTATTAAATAATTTTTTGTTTTAATTTATTTTGCAAGGACTAACTTCTTCACTGACACGAGTGGATTAGATTCTACTTTCAATATAGCACAGTCTTATTGTTCAAAATGTCTATTGAAATTGCTAGCTAGATAGCATGCTGTCAATACATGCCTATGATTCTAGCATTTTATCAAAAAAAAAACTTTACTTTTACAAAAAATATTGGAGTTCTGTTAAGTAAAATATTAAAAGGAAGTGTTCTGCAAATTTAAGTACTCTCTTTTTACTAACTCCTGGGAAGTAATCATCACAGGAACTCCCTCCTGCACCTGTGTATTATTCAGAAACAATAAAAATACCATCTTTGGACATAGCCTGCAAAAGTATGAAGTGAAGCACTTATGAAGTGTCACTGACCACCTTTTCTGAAACAATTGGTCCAGATGATCTGTCTGTTTATTAGGCAATACTAAGACAGAAACATGAAACTAATTCATTTATAGAGGGCTTTGTCTGAAGAAACATTATTTACCTTTCATTACCTTTTCACCTATAAAATGAGACTAAACGCTTGCCGGTTAGAATGCATGAATACACATTTTGGTTTTGAAGGGTTTTTTGTGTTCCTAAGTATTGTACTAACAAGCGACCTTTAGAAGAAATGAGCAGTGTAAAAATTTCATGAGTTTGTGTGCTTCTAAATTAACATTTAGGAGCAAATTAGTTTTTATAATTTATTTGAAACATTTATATTTTGAGCACAAAGACAGCAAAACTAAAAATTAGCACGGGACATGTAACTTGAAGAGAAGTATTATCCAAAATATTAAATATTTATGCAAAATACACTGGATCAAGCTATAAATCAATCAGAGCCTTAATTTTGTTAAATATTTTTTGTTTTATTTCACTTGCTAAAGGCTTTTTGGTAGGAAAGGCTCCTGCTGCAAGTTCCCTCTTCTTCAGAATTTTCAGGACATTTTCTTCTACTGAATCCTTCACAATGTATCAAAATATAAAAAAAAAAAAGGAGGAAAAGGAAAAAAAAACCACCCAAAATACTGAAATAAAGATGCTATTTTCCTCTAAATAAAAGTTTACGATGAGAAGTTTATGTATTCTGGAAAAAAATGCTAGGGAGCTGAGTATCCTAAGTGCAGTTACGTTATTTAACTATTACTTTGTAAACACGGAGAAAAGGGTTGTAAAGCAGTTGGAGGAAAAGGTGAGGTGTTTGAATTTTTTGTGGTTTTTTTTCTTTTAAACATTTATTGTTAGGACATCTATCTTTTCTTTGCTTTATTAGAAGAGGACCTGGCTTCAATTTTTCAAGTAATATTTTTGTGATGGAATATTAAGAAGCCAGGCTAGCTGCTCTTCCACAGCTAAACTAGCTGCTGTGACTGACAAGAGCATTCTACATACCTTCAAGATAATGAACTGTAACAGCCAGGCTAACCAACAGGTCTACTACCCCATTTGAGTCACTCCAAATAGCTCAACAGGGACATTTAATTTCTTATATTAAAATCTTACAATCCAAAGCACACTTCAACAGTCACTCCACAATTTAGTTTTACTGGTGAGACTGTGATGGCACAATTATTTTTAAAATACCGTAAAGCTTCTTGGAAAATAATTATTTATTCATAACCAGAACACTGTTGGGATCATCTTTCAATTCACCATAGTAATTACAGCATTATTCTTCTGACCCTGCACGCAACACCTGTCAGAACACTGGTCTTCTGCAGTGGGATTCCAAGCTATTAGAAGCAGCAATGAATAAGTTAAATAACCTCCCTTCAAAACACAGTAGTATGCACATGGCATCACAAAGCAGATATTGTACCACCACCTCTTGAACAAATATTACCTGCAAATGAATTACTCCCTACCTAATGTCTTATTCTTTAAGTATCCCGCTATAAAGAAAGCTTTGAGAACATCTGGTTATATGTTCATAACAAGCAGGAACTTCAGGTAAATGCTTTAAAAACAGAGTTTGTCAGGAGTCTAGGAGACATCAAAACAATCCTGTTATTTTAATTCTGAAACAAACGCTGCATATACTAACTGCCTCAGTACCTGATGGCAAAATCTAAATCAGCTGGACACAGTCAGTTACTTAACAGTAAATTGGACTCTTAAAAAAGCCCACATATACTTTCGTTAGTATATACAATAATCACCATGTTATGTAAACAAGAAATTTTGCTGAACACAGAATGAGTGTAGCTGTTACTACTTGTACTTTGGATGTAACATTAAATGTAAGGATCTGTGAAATGCAAAGTCTGTGCTCTGCATTTTCCCAGAATGTTTTATCTATCTAGAGGTACAGCACTAGTAGTTCTTAGAGAAGAGATACTTAAATCTACATGAACTGTAATAATGTTCTGTTTCTGATAAGCAAGTCTTATGCAGTGGGCTCGCCTTGTCATGTCACCCACATACTGCAAGTTGTCTAAGAATTCTTCTTAATAACTTGTTTTAGATTCTAAGAACCTCTGATGTCTATGCACACTCAAAGACATCAAGCTACAAAATAAAAACCAAACAAATCTTATTTCTCCAAACTATGGTAGTAAGCAAAACAGCAACAAATTATGTATTTGTCACTGCAAGATGAACATTCCTGGCAAGCTATATATGGCACACTGTTCTATTATTAATCTCACTGTATGAGAACAAAATGATGTCTGGAGGAAAGACCTAGCCCAAACATGCAGAATTCTGTTCCATTCTATTTTTGCTGTAGTTAAGAAAGACTGAGGTGTACAAATTTCACTCTTCCCTCATCAGTCCAGCACAGGAAAAGTGAATTGCAGTACTTCTATACATTTCTGCAGTATCCCATAAAAGGATATCCCAAAGGCTACTGTATTTTACATTGGAAAATACTAAAAAAACTGAGCCTTGGAGAAACATCTGTATATTTGTGGTACTCTCACATTAAAGGTTTGTATTTCTTTCTAAAGGTGAGAATTCTGCATCTATGATTGTATTTAAACAAACAAACAATTTTAAAAGTGGGGGGAGGGAAAAACTAATCTATGGTTGGATAAATATTCTTCCCTTGCACTGTGGTATTACACCTCTCAGAGAAGGAATGCAGACCTCCAAATTATAGTTCTACAATAAATCCACAGAATTTGAAAAACTGGTTACTCCACTGGTATTTCTGCTTCTTAAATCCTGTTATTGCTGCTAGTACGCTTCAAGGAATGATAATGCATGAATGAATCTCATTCGGCCCTGATTATTCCAAAGGGAGATCATGAAGATCATGTGGGCCCACTGCTTCTCCATCAAACACAAGCAGTCAACCACTGCCACTTGGGATAGTCAGCATCACAGGACGGCTACGAGCAGGATGGTAAGTTGCTGTTCAGTGGTGCATAAAGGCAGCAATTATATTTGACCCTAAGTTGTTAGGTATACCTATAGATTGTAGATGCCTTGGTGTTAGCAATGCTTTGTTTCTTTTCTTAAAACTGCTTGCCACAATACGATGAATTCACTATACCTCATTTGTTATCTTCACAGAAGATTAAAATTCTCTTGCAGTTTCCACAAGTATTCAGAGAGTTCTTTAAGAAAAAAAAAACAAAGCAGCAGTCAGACTCGATGGCATTATGGTAGTGTAGGTCTCTTCCAACTGAATGGATCAATGCAGTCCATACACAGACATATTGCAATTAATGAACAAATTCTTCCATGGCAACTACTCCAACTCTCCATACTCTTACTCATAGTTAATTTCTTTCATTTAATAAATAAATAGCTTTTATCTTCATACTGTTACTATTACTGGCCTGATGTCCAAGCTAGTACTTTTCCTTTACTATTTGCGGTGACAGATGCACAAGTCCAAAGCTAAATTATTATTATTTTAATTTACTCTGTTTCTTTCAAGTGCAGATTTTGTTTCCATTTCCATCTGCCAAAAAACTTGGGAATTATATCAGAATGAACAGGGGGAAGGCAGAAAGTGAATAGAAAACCCTTAATGTGGTACAATGACACAACACATGAACCAATTTTGCTAAGAATACAATTTTGCTATCAATAAAGGTAATTTACATTTTTATTCCTTACAAATAATTTTGCATTTCTGAGTGCTTTAAAGAAAGGAAAAAATACTTCCTAAATGTAGGTATTACCAGTACCCCATGACCACAAAAGGTAACCTCAGACTAATGTCTTAATTTATAAATGTGTCACACCACTCTGTTAGTAGTACTACTAGCATTCTTTCCACTTACATGGACTTAAATGGACAGCACAAAAATACAGTGTTACAACAAGAAGATACTAGGGAAACATGAAGAAAAGTCCTATTTATCTTTTAAACAGATACTCATTAGTGTCCTTCTTTCTCAGATGGGCTTTCCATCTGCCTCTTAGGAAAACGCCAAAGAGGCTTCACCTAGATTAGGCCATATCATTATGAACAGCTCATTTCCCACGGGATCCATTAAAAACACCAGGAAAGCTGCTATCACATTTAATCCAACTCCACCCACTTTCAGAGACAAAAGCATTATAGTTCAGGACCCTGCCTGGTTGCTTTGGAAACAACAAATTGCTTTCATGCTTTTCTTCTGTGCCATTGACCCATCCAAATGAGTAAAGGCAAACCCTGATTCTCTAAAGAGAAAGTAAAAATGTTCAATTTAACAATCCATTTTCAGTGACAACAGGAAATAAATACACTAAAATCCTACCTCTGCTTTGAAATGTATATTTAAAATGCTGTTTTCTTTGAGAGATCTTTCTAAAACACCATAAAGACACATGTTTATTAAAAATAACATCAATTCTACTTACTTCAAACAGTTTTCTATCAGTGATAAGAAAGTTATGAACTGAGAAGCAACCAGACATTTAGCAGCTAGACTTAACCCTCTGTAGTTCTACTAAAGTAGGCACATGAGCATTTATCTGAAATCAAATAAAGTATTTATCTGAAATGAAAGGAACTTTTTCTGGCTTGGCTAGAGTCCATTCCTACAGATGGCTTTGATGAAGTTCACGTCAATTGAGAGAAATCACCGTTCAGTAATACCTTTTAAATGAACGAATCTTGAATTCTGTGGGTAGGCTTTCTTCTAATTTCCATAGGAAAGGAAGGTTTCAGCCTTTTTAATAGTCACAAACTACAGGCTGATTGAGAGTGCTTTGGGAAGGAGGATTCTCAACCCATTTTCCAGACATACTTCACGTTGTCAAAAGTCTGCAAGTCCTCTGTCTCCAGGGTACATGGAAAATAGGAATAAAGTACTGGAACTTCAGAAAATAAGGCTTAAGCAATGGACAGCCTAAAGGCTGATCTACCATAGCAATACTCAAAAAGTAAGAAAGGCTTCCCCCAGAAATACTGAGGCAAATAAGGTATGCACGACCTTAGGTGGTGGCTTAGGTTGGCTATGTATGACAGGGGACAAGGAGGCACCAGAAGCTCTCTTGAACCAACATGAGAACAAAAGGAACAAGAAATTGGATTTGAGCCAGAAGAACACTGCTAGTTTTCTCAGTAAGGTTTAGCTATGATGATGTAAAGAACCACTAAATAGAGAATGAAAGTAACTGAACCAGCTAAAAAATAAAATAAAAGAAAAAAAATTTTGATTTATTCTAGAGCACAATGTCTGAAATTAGTTATTAGGACTCCACAAGAAGATTTTTAGGGAATAAATTTGTAACCGACATTTGAAAGAACAATTTCTTCATTAAAAGTGTAAGACTTAACGTTTCAGAAAAGCAATCTCAAAATGAAAAGGCCAAAGTACAAGCAGGAAGATACAAATTCTGGCAGCAAATGAGAGTGAGGCAAAGAAAAATGATGTGACAGACCTTGAGAAACAAATCACAAAGTAAAAAAATAATATTGCAATGTTTTTTCTGACAAGTGTTGGATTGAACCTATGCCCATTTAGTTTTCCCCTCTGGAGCAGAATATATATTGCATAACTAAGATTTAAGAAAGAAGGATTTATTTAGATTTTGTTTTCAAAAGTAAATTAATGTTTGAGTAAGTTTCAGTAGTTATAAAACTGCTCTATCTTCAGAAACCGAAACAAAATGCAAAGCTCTTTACCGGAAGTTTTTATGTACCGAACAATTCCCAGCATCAAATTACAACTGGCGTTCCTTTTGTCTTGTTTCCCTGCTGGAAAATTTGTTTGTGGTGTGATTTTAGTACACACTTTCTTCTGTGTTGACTAGACATGCTGCACAGACTTCTAAATAATAATTTGAACTATGTTATCCATATGTATAATATGTTTAGTATAATTACACAATTATAGAGTATGGTCTACAAAACCATAATGAAAACTAAATAAAACACAATAGAATGCACCTTTGAGCTAGCTATCCTCTCCTGATAAGGCTTCTTTCCATTACTGGAGTCTATTTCCTCTTCTAAGGGACCATTCCACCAAGTTGTCTACTTGAAGCTCATTCTTACAGAGAGGGCATTTGGCTGTGCAAAAGCCCCAAAAACATTAAAAGAAACATATTAAATCTAGTTATTTATAGTGAATGATAAATAGCACCTTTACAAAGCACCTTTTATGCATTTTTTATTCTGATGTTCATGTAAAAAAATTCTCAAGGATTCATTCTTGTAACACACTGTCATTTCTGATGTGACACTGAAAACATTTTATTTGCAAGAACATTAACATGACATAAATACTCAGCCTTCCTTAAAAATGAAGTGGTCTTTCTGAGCATATTTATATTGAAATGAGTAGCTCAAGGTTTTAAAGCAAGGATGTATTTGGGCTATGAGAGTAAGATTATTTAAAATATGAGAAAAATAAACCATCTTTCAACGACAGTATCTTTCTTAGTTACAAACAAAAGAATGACCTTTTACCCTTTTTTTTTTTTTTCTCAAAGCCTGCACAGAAATAATAGCAGTCTGATGAAATATGCTTTGTCAGGACTAGACACAGGGTATCTTCTCTTTTTCCCCCAACAGACACATGAAAGGAGACATAATTTAACACCAAAAGCCTTTTTCTCTGAAGTACATTCTGGATAAAGCAAAATTTATACAATAGAACTTTCATAGGACTACTCAGAAGAAAATTTAATAATAGACTGTGTGCACTGTACAAATGACAACCCTGTGAAGCAAAAATGACAAACACGAAAAACTTCTGCCTAACAGAGCAACCCTTTAAAATTAGCTAATTCTGTTTATATAGAAATCTGGCCACAGAACCAAGGCAGCTTCAGAGAGGCTACAAAGCAGATCTCACAAAGCACATGAATACTGGGGACTGCTAATCTGGAATGAATCTCTAGGCAATTAAAGAGACTGGCAGTCATAGTCTGATACATTCATTTATTGCAGCAATAAAGATATCCTTTCAAGAGACAGACTCCAAGCAAATTTGAAATAACAGTTTTCCAAACATAGTGAATGAATGAGCCATTCCTGATTTGCCAGCAAACAAAAAATCTTCCAGTGACAAGACAAAATAAATTAATTCTATTAAATCTGAAAAAAGTTTTCTGGAAAAAAACCCCTCCTAACAGTGCTTATAAAGACTTATTTTTAATAAATAGCTCGCATCTTTCTGCATCCCTTCTCCACTTTAGCACCGTAATTATGAAAAAAACACAAAAGTCAGCTGAACATTGCCAACACAGATACCAAAGACTTCTGCTACAAGGATATGAAAGTGGCAAAAAAAGTCTTACAATGAACAGCTAAAAGAAGAAAAAGTATTTGAATGCATATCTGGCAAGCTTTTATAAGAATGCAGTTGATACACAAAGATGTTAGATTACTATAGAGATCTTATAGCTTTATTGTGGCTTCTGCATAGGATCTTTACTTACTTGCACAACTCTAAATTTAGTCTTAACTGAAGACTGAAATGAAGGTAGTATCAACTCTCAAGCTGTTAACTTCCAAGAAGTTTTTCCAGTTTTGGTAAATGCTTTTAGGTTAACATTAGAAAGATAAAATGATTTCTCAGTTCACAATACCACGACAAGCCAAACTTTTCACTCAGCAGTTTTGTGTTTGCAGCTTCACATCTCATTTCTCACTGATGATTTAATGCTGTCATTTTTATTAATAATGGAAACCGTTATTTTGCCCAAAAGAATCCTACTTGAACCCAAGATGCTTTGGGG